TGTTTAGAGTCGAGGCATTTGCAATAATCTCCAGAGACGTTGACCTTACTGCGCTATATATATATATATATTTGAAATGGCGAAGAGTAAAGAAAATATTTTCTAAAATTCATAAATATTCTACTGTATAGAAATTTATACATTTACTTTGAAATGATTAAAAGTGAGCAAAGATCTTATTTCGGTAGAACGAATACATATCTCAGCAAGAGTATGCAATTCTGCACACAATTAAGACGAATGAGCAGTGATCTTTACATAATTAGACGGCGACATTCAAAATTATCTCCTCGAACTTCTCTAGAGAGCATCGAAATCCTTAATAGAATTTGATGCCAACTCTAGGCGATTTACCATATTGGGTCTGAAAATGAATAATTGTACCTAATGTGTACTTATGTAAATCTTGTAAAACTTTCTGATGTAATATATATATATAATATATTTAATTTACATAAATGAATATATAATTTTTAATTATTTCAAAATATTCGCTACATTTTAAGCATCAACATAATAATTACTTTCATGTAGTATTATATAGAAACGAGACAAAATTAGAATATTTTAAAAACTAAATTTGAATGTTTATTGATAAAGCTATATATAATTTTTATTTTTATCTATTTATAATAAAATATTCTTACATTTTGGATTAAATAAAATTCATATTTGTTTTTAAGTCATTCGTAAGTATGATTTACAGATAATTTAAGCATTCTGAACGTGATTTACTATATACAGTATACATAAGCAAACTCTTAAATTTTTAAAGACGGGTAAATAGTAATAATAAAACAAATATGATAAAACAGATATTTATAATTTTTGTGTATACAAGAAATATATAATACCATTCATATTATATATAAAATATTATTGCAGTATATTTGACAATTTTTTGTCAGTTCCATTATGAGGCCTCCCTTCGTCTCCGGTTTCTGTGCCTGTGTACCTGTTGCACCTGCCTAATTACTCACAGTACACTATTTTATGCCTTCCTGCTCTGTAACGTTGCCTCACATATCCCCAAAATTACGAAACACAGAACCTCGATCAACTTTCTTAACTATACTAAGGAATAATGTTTAGTACGGGACACTAAGCGTTACAATCTTTTATTAATTACATGTTTAACGTACAGAAAAGTGGCATAAATAGTACAGATCGCTATGCAACACTTCAGAAACAAATATAAACCATTCTGTTACAAAAGGTTGAGACCCTAGCATTAAGTAACGTTTTCATATATATATATATATATATATATAGTTCTGTCTTTTGTATATATATGTAATTCTTTAATTAAATGCTTATCGCTAAAATATTAATATTGCTTTAGAAGATTAGTTTAAAAATATTAATTAAAGGCAATAAGTCTACAAATAATATACGGATCGTAGTCAACCATTACTATATAATTGCGTATACTCTTAAGCCATTGTAAAATGAAGACGTAATTTATATTTTACATTATATAAATGATCTTCTAAAGATAGTACAATTGGGCGTACAACTCTTAATACTAAACAAGAAATGTAAACTAATCTTGAAGTGTCCGTGTTTAACATCGCAGTTGCTCGAATAAATTCAAGTTGTTTTATTTTGTGTCACTCGTAGAGAAGAGAAACAAAAAACCAATGTTAAATCCGAGGAAGTGCCCAAGGTTTTACGCTCGGGGTCAAGTCAAACTCTTCCGATAGAAAAATTGCTTTATTCGCCGTTAAGTTTGTTTCCACAGTAAAATGCCCCTCGAAGTTTTTGTTTCCCACCTCTACAACAATATCTGGATTCAACATTGATCCAAAAACGATGTCGACATCTCGCTTTTCTATACGCGTAAAGAAAACGATTTTGTGCATCTGTTACTTATGCTAAGTAATATAATAAATAAAATTTTTGAAACATTAATTGTTAAATATTTTCTATTAATTATCTTGGTAATGGTGAGCATAATATAAAAAATAATGTATTTCACTTTGGTTAGATAATTAACATTTTTTAAAATAGTGAATGACTGTTTTACTACGTAACGTTCGTGCTTGTAAATATTACTAAATGTTACTAAATTCTTTATATTAAAAGAATATACACAAACAAAACTTTATTATAGTGGGAAAAAGCTACAACTTCATGGTAAAAATTAATTTCTATTTTTATTTTGTCACGTTGTAGATAATGTATACTCTACTATTCTATGCATTACTTTTTGTTCTGATTAATTTTATTTGGTTTTTAGGGGTTTCCTATGGTTAATGGGGGCGGGGTGATAATCTTCCGTCTTCAGACTTTCACTTGTACACAATTTAAAAATAAATAAATATACAGTAGTATACTATAATATACTAATACTACAGTACTATATTATACTGTATAGTATAGTATACAATACTATACTATTTGCGATTGTTTGTTTATCTTCTACGAAATTGGTTCAGACAAGAATATATATAAGCTTAATTGTATTCGTGCCAAATTTTCGGATTCGCATCGGTATGAAGAACTTGAAATGGCCACAGTATTGTTTCATTGATTGCGAAAGAACTTCGTAATATATGATTGATTTTGATAAGAAGGTTACAATCATTCGATTTGTCAATAAAATGTAGAAATGATCTTAATATTACAAAAACTGGTGAATACTAAAAAAGAATTTCCAGGCAAGCATATCATTTTTATATTTTAAAAAACTTATAAACTCAAACTTCGATTAGTTACAATGTAAAGTTCTTAAAAAAAGACATCTCTCCCTCAGAAAAAACTTCCCTTTAAACTTTAAACAAAAGCGTTTATTTTAAATGAATTTTAGATTTTTTAATGTATTATTTATTAAATTAAAGAAATAAATTGTGCGTTAATTATACACTAAATCGAATATAAGTCTACTTTTGATTCTAAAGGAGCTCTCGTATAAATTGGAATAGTATTAATTCCAAGTTTCTTGAAAACAACGGCTAATATTATATATAATTATAATTAATAAACTAACTGGATACAATATTACTCTAAGTTGCCAGATACTCGACGACACTCTAATTTTAATTATGTTTACAGTAACTAATGTATCATAACAATGCATCAAAATTCCGTAACTGAGCTAAAGTTAAATATATTTTCTCATAAATTAGCCTTTTAACACTGTTCAATTTTTTACAGGGGATGTATTTATGCGTTTATTGTAAAGTCGATAGAGCAAACAGCTCTATAATATCTTTGTTTACCGTACGGAATATATCAAAAAGTATTCTAAGTGATAAATAGAATACTTTGTAATTGAATAAACATTACGAACAAACTCTAGCAATACAATTGCAATTGAATTACAATCCCAATCTAATGTCATTTCTGAACCATACTCATTACGTCAAGTTAGACTCGATTTGTCTATTAATAAAGGTTTGAATTTGATTTCGAGAGACGTGAACACGGTAACAATAAGTAGATTGGAAATGAATTTATCAAAGCTTTAATAATTACGAATTATCGATATATCTTGTAAATTCATCCACATTTAATACGAGGAAAGATACCGATTTTCCAATTTGTAATGCGCTTTCAAATCATTGTTACTTACATTTTTTTCAAGCTGATAAATTGATTTTTATGAAAAAACTTTTTTTTAAATAAAAGGCTATTTTACAAAAATTGGACAACTTTAATATGGAAATACAGGAGCAAATTTTTATTTTAGAATTTTAACTCTTACATTTCCCATTCGAAATTCTTCAATCAATAATGATAAGTTGTGACATTCCGAGGTTCTAACCTTAAATTTAATAAATTGAAGCCGAGAAGATGGAGAGAGAAAAGGAAGGGATGCAATTTTGAAACTATGCCATTCGATATCACACCTCAACAAACCGACAAAGTTAGTATAGATAGAAGCACAATACATTACGAAATTATTGAAAACGTGAGCTGATTCTTACATTTAAACTTAATGGACCAATCCAATACGGGAAAAGGCAAGAAGTGGCGCAGAACGTGTCAAGAATTCGCAAATAAAATGAACATTGTTATATTTGTAGCCATCCCAATAAATTCTAAATTTCCAAAGTCGAAGAAACAAGTTTTAAGATTCTTTGACAAAATTTCCGAGATGTTTATCGACTTCGACATCTCTATTAAACAGCCTATTTTACTATTTTTCTATTTTGCTGCATTCTAATGTCCTTTGCTCGAAGGATGACGGATGATACGTCCAAACATGACAAGTCTTCACCAAAAAAATTTTAAATGATTTTAAATTTTTTCTCGGAAATTTTCTCTTTCGGTACTTACGGATCTACGGATTTAAATAATAAGATTAAAATATGTCAAAATAATAACAACAATACATTTCAGCAGTTATTGAACGATGTATTTTAGGATTAGGAGTAGTTTTATATTTTTATAATATTCAATGTAAATTAATTTTAATACCATTATATAAAAGTCTATATTCATGCCAAAGACATGCGTTCATTTAATTTGATATAAAATATAATTTACTTAGCATAAAAATATTATTATTTAGAACAGAAATATTGTCAATGAACTCTTATTGTTAATCGCAAACCTCTGAACAACGGACACTGAGGAAAAAATAAAAATTGACATTGTTCGGAGGTTATTTTGTATACAGTTTTGTTTTAAAAATGTTCTTGGAAAAAAGGCCGCTGTTTACAGGTGGCCTCTATTCGAATGTGTTTTAATACAGTCGATTTTAATAATATGGTTGGTGCCGTTTAAAGAATTAAAATGTTTAATATATACAAAGATAGAATAAAATATATTCGAAATATTCTTTAATTTGAAAGTAGTTTTTTGCGAACATTTTCAACTAAAAATACTTTAAGAAGAATTGTCTTTAAAGATACACGAATTTTTCTCTTCAACATGATGCTATGTGATGATTATGAACTTTTAAAATTCGCAATGCCCTCAGATATAAATAATATAAACTTATAATTTAAATACTTGTAAAAACAATTTTAAAATAGAATTTTCTTTTATTATAGGTCTTTTAAAACTCCAACATATCTTTCATTTGACGACCGAAACTTATAAGTTAAAAGTAAGAGGAGTGAGAAGGATAGTGAACGAAACCGATGCCAACTTGTTTCTCTATTCGATGCAAAGTCAAGATCAAACTCAAGACAAACAAAAATATATTATACTGGATTGCAATGCGACAGTAGCACAAAAAATAATTGTTAATCACGTGAAAAATATTTATATGGGTCGAAGGAACTATCATTTTCTTCTAACTAGTTTGGTTAGTAATCCATATAAAAACGTATTTTTCATCATTTGTATAGATATATTTATCATATAATGTAATATAATGGTAAATTCTGGAAAGATGACATTCTATGTATAGTTTGAGTTGTATAAAGACAAATTACTTAGTTTACTTTTGGTGATTATATTTTGAAAACGAATATCTTGACATTTGTGGATGATTCATTTAATTTTCATTAACAGTTTTAAATGTAGTTTCTATAGGAAATCATCAATAGAAGTAACATTAAAATATAATTAATTTCCAGAAATGATTTTAATGTCAATAATAAACATTTACAGGAAAAGATTTGTCTTTCCAATACAGTATCTACATATAATAGATTACGACGGAATACTAAAATGCATTATGCGCGTGTATTTGGCTAACAAATGCATTTCTTTGTTACCTCATCTTTTGGTTGGAGATGGATAAATTTAATATTAGAAATCTGTGGCGTTAGACGAGTGAGCTTTTAGTCATTCCTTAGGGAAATTCGAGAAGATGACTTTATTTTGTTAATGTCTTCCGGAGAATTGCTTCTTAAAATTAATATTGCATCGTATTGTATGAATGACCGTTGCATAAGTAATTCTATCTATCAATAATTTATAAACTATAACTTTCTTATTATTAATCTAGTTCCTTTTTCTAAAAAATCCAAAATCATAGCTTTTATGAATTATATTATTCATAAAGTAAGTTGATTACTTTATGAATAAAATAAAAATATTTATGTTTATGAAAACAATATTATGAAGAGAACTTCAATTTATACCATAATTTTATTAATTTTGCAAATAAGTCTGAGAGTTCTAGAATAGTTAACGTATATAATTCATTTTACTTAGACCAAGGTTTTTTTTTATAATGAAGGATATAAGGTATAACTTATATGCAAGAAAAATATTAAAAGATATTTATTGAGAAATCCGTAAATCTGGCAAAATAAATGTAAATTCCAAAGACATCGACAATTGTCAAGACATTCGACACTATATTATATAATTTTTAACAAAGAAAAAAAAATGTTTAAAATTATAAATAAATAAAGCATAAGATATTTAGAATGAAGAATATTCTGTATTATCTTTACCAACGATTAGATTGTAGACGAAAATTGGAACAGTGAAGTCTTGCAACACGGTGCTATTAACGTGACGGGATTTCAAATACTTCAGCCAAATCGACCAGAAATGAGGCATTTTTTGAGTCAGTGGAAAAAACTCGATCCTTTTAAATGGCCGGGCTCTGGAAATAAATTCTTTGATGTAAGTTTATTTGATTTTTTTTCATATTTATAATAAGTACAAAAATCGGGCGGTCGATGTCTTTCCATTTTCGATTAGTGTTGTTATTCGGAGAATCATTAAAGTGTTTCTCCTCCAAATATTGATTATGGCCGAGCAGAATGAGACAGTTAATGTCATAGCCCCTGGCTATACCTTCTCCATTTGTTGCTCGTCGAGTATCTTCTATATAACCACAGATATCTTGTTCTTTACATAACATAAAAATTAGCAAATTCGCTAGATCTATACAGAAGGAAGAATTATAACGAAAGAGTCAATAAGTATTTACATTTACTTAGTTATACATTCTTTAAATAGTTAAAAAAATTCGTACTAAAATTCGATATTTTTTCGTTTCCTTATGAGCATTTTATCTGAATAATTTAGTTTTTAATTTAAAGAAATATTTAGTTTAAGATATTTAAAATATGTAAAGTATTTTATTCATAGTTTTTCAATGCTCCAATAAAAACATTTATGGAAAAACATTATCTTTCAGGCTAATATTGCTCTTATGTATGACGGCATCAAAGTTATTTTAGATGCATTCAGTCGTTTAATGAAGAAGAAACCAGATATATTTCGCAATAATTTTCGTAGGGGCGAAGTTTATAATAATGGAACAAAGGGAATTGATTGCAGAAGAATTCCAGTAATGCCTTGGGAACATGGTGAAAAAATTATTAACTTTATGAAGAAGGTAAAACAAAAATATAAATTTTATTTTAAGATAGATTAATATACATTTTAAAGTGAGAATCTATGTTTAAAATTTGTGGTTAAATTTTATGTTGATGCATTGTTTTTATAAATATATCATCATTCGAACATCATATATATTATAATATTCGAATAATATGATAATTTCTGAATCTACAGTATATATCTATAACAAAATCCTTAAAAGGAAATTAAAGAAATAAGGAGAAGAATAAATTGATCTAAAAGATCAGAATCCATTTTGAAAGTTAAAGAATTTATACATTATTAATTAAATATAAAAATATATTTTAATATATTAATTACGAGTAAACAGCTCAATGAACAGCGAGCATTGAACAATAATTGCTTATACAAATATAAACATTTTATTGAGTAATAGACTGCTTGAGCGATGCACAGAATTATGATTAAACGTTAAAACGCGATTATAATAATAATTAATTTTTAAAATTACGATTATTTACTGTTAATTTTAAGCTAACTATATTTTCCTGGCATAAGATATAGTTTGTATAAGATAATTTTATTTTTATAGCAGAATTAAATTAGCATTTTTACACAATAAAATAAAATTCAATTTCATTCATTTATTTTATAAAATCGTAGATAGTTTTTTAAGAATCTATTTTAAACTCGATTAAATTAAATGATTTAATATAATTTTAAAGAATTACATAACGAAACGTTAATATATATAATATAAACGGAAGCACCGGGAATTGATGAAACGTTATAAAATTTTTCTTATGAAAATTCTATATAAAAAACAAGTGGGCGAAATCTGTGGTGGAGAGCAAGCGGCCTCCCAAATCATGAATAAATAAATTAATTCACCTACATATTTTACATTATCAAACTCTTAATGTTTATTCTATTTTTGAAATTCTATTGTAAGAATTCTTCATGGAATGCCAAAATCACTATCCCTTAGCAATATTTACGAAATTTTTATATATTGACTGATATTTTTCTTCATTATATCAAGGTAAGTGCGGTCTTTTAATAATATACTTATATAGGCCTATATATTCCAAAAAGTAAACATATTTTCTTATGTCATCCAGCGATAGTTATTTTTAGCGTTTAATAATTAAACAAAAATATTCGTAAAATCTAACTAAAATTAAGATTCTATGAATTGTATATTATAATAATTAAAATATATATTCAATATGACGATAGTTTATTATATAATTAAATATTTTATAATACAGTAGAGCATCGATTATCCGACTGAATTGGGGACTCAGGTTGGTCGGATAACTGAAAAAATCGGATAACCGAAAAGAATGAAAAAATTACATTATTAGTATATCCCATATAATTAGTATATTAGTATATCGCTATTAATTAACTTCGCGTTGAATTTTCATCGATATTAAGCGTAACAAATTTTTTAAAAATAATAATCGTCTCAATTGTATCGTTAAAAATTATTTTTAAGTTATTTTATTGCTCACAAAACAAACAACCACTCATAATTAGAAAATTAAGTCTCGTTTAAATACTGGCCGCCCTTCAATAGTCGAGACGTGTTGCCAGCTAAAACACGCAAAAATTTAACAAAAATAATATTAAAGTAGCCAAGACATAGCCAAATATTGTAGTGCCACATCACTAGCGGACATTTGAATTTTGCCGACTAGAACGGTCGGTTAACCGATGTGACGGTTAATCGGGGGTCGGATAATCGTTGCTCTACTGTAGTAAAAAATTAAAGGACTTACTGTATTTTTAATTCATTAAGAAAAGTTTCCAACAATATTTAATTTAATATTTTGCCATTAATTTTTAATATTAATTAACTAGTTATTTCTGCGAAGTGATCTTTGTAAGAATATATTTTAAGAGAAGATGATGTATAAAATAGATATAAATTTAAAAAAAAGGAATCATAATACTATACAAAAGGATTTCATGACAATATATTCTGCTCTTTTCAAATTCTATCCTTTTCTTAAATGTAAGTAATATGTGGTGTCAGGAGAAAGGATCGACTCGGTTGCTAAAGCTATAGCAACGTTTTTCATTTTAACCTTTAAACTCTGGTGGCAATAGTAGAGGATGGCTGTTTTTACTTTCAATAAAATTGCTGGAAACTTCGTCTGTGAGAAAAAACATTCGCTGGATTTATGATGTCTCTTAACAGTTGCCTAGACTGTAGAAGAGAAAAAGCTATAAAAAGGGGTTTATAGGGAGCGAACAGGAAGTGACAGTTCCCGTATACACCGTGATAGATGCCATATTACTTACAACTTCTTAAATTTAACGTGGCAGGCAAACTAATCACTTGGTTCAATCAAAGAACTAATTTCAAAGTATTTTATTGCAATCTTTTGATTGAGGATCAGATTATTGCCAAGTATCGTTTACCGAAGTGGCACAACGACTTTCCTCGATTTAGTAAATATAAGTTCTGAAATTAATTCCTCAATATAAACAAAAAGTTAATTTTTAAACGGTTTTTCTCGTGTTTTGACGTTCTTGTTCTTTCTCATTTAATTTTATTTTTTGTTTACAGACAGAAATAAAAGGTTTAACTGGAAATATCTCTTTCGATGAATATGGTTATAGAAAAAATTTTACTGTGGATATTGTAGAAATGACAATTAACAGCGAAATGGTGAAAGTAAGAACATAAATGTTAAAATTTTTAAATTATTTTTAACACGAATAATTTCATTTTTTCTTTTTTACTTTTGTCATTAGATAGATTATTTGGCTTTAAATGTTCAGGATCTAATTGTTAAATGCTTAAAAAGTAAATACCTCTATTAAATATTTAATTAAAATAATAAAATTCAAGAAAATTAACGATAAATTTACGTATAATAAAAAATAAGTAAAGAATTTTATGAGGTAGAGAATTGAAGACATTTTTTAAGGTTTCAGGTCTTTAAAAAAATCTAAAAAATTTTAAAATATTTAATTAAAAATTAATAAAATATATGAAAGAAATATTTAATTATCGTTGCAGATAGCTCAATGGTCAGACACGAAAGGTTTGGAGTTAGTTCCTCCTAAATACAGGCGTGTACCACAGAATACCGGATTTGAAAATAAAACATATATCGTTACTAGTATATTAGTATGTATGTTGTAAAATGTTGATAAAATCTTAAAAGTTTTATTTGACAAATTGATATAAATACTGAAGTCGAAAGTTTTTAAGTAGTAGTTAAAACTTTGAATTTTATTGCGTAATTTTAGGAAGAACCATATTTAATGGAAAAAAAAGCCGAACCGGGACAAAATATGGAAGGAAACGATAGGTTCGAAGGATATTGCAAAGATCTCGCAGATTTGATTGCAGATAATCTAAAATTCAACTACATCTTGCAGTTGGTTAACGATTCTAAATATGGAGGGTTGGACCCAAATGCTAAAGGAGGATGGAATGGAATGGTTGGAGAACTCATTCGCAAAGTATGATGAATTCTAGATAATTTTATTAAAGAGTTTTATAATAAATTTGATATATATATGTTCAGTTTTTATCGCCATTTAATATACATTGGATGGATATTTTAATGTCGACTAAATTTAAACGTTTGAAATATCCGTGTTGCTTAATCGTTTTAATGTTAACAACTCGATATTTCATAGAACTGAAGATAAATTCGTTCTAAAAATATTTTTCTTTAATAACGTTTTTAGAATTTTAAATAAAAATTGCTTAAATAAATAAAAAATAATAAAACAAAAAAAAATAGCTTCTAAGAATAAACATCATATATTTTCATTGAAAATTTTACAATTTTTTGAAAAAATGACCGAAAAGATTAAAGTTCAAATACTATAAATATTTTGATAGGAAAGTTTAAAGCTACATGATAAATTCTTCTTAAAATTTATGACCAAGAAGCTTTCCTTTTTTGAAGAAAAAATAATTTCTGTATAGAAGAAGAAAGATTGATAAAGTAACGAAGTAGTCTGCAAACGGATTAAGAAGTTTCAAAGCTGCTGAAGGGCTGGACAAAGCACTCTTTTGCCCTCAGGAGGCTAAAAATAAAAATACATTTTATAAATAAATGTCATACGTTGGGTGACTTTAGTCTCATTGTCAGCTCAGCCTTTTGACGTATTCTTTGACTAAAAAAGCTCCCTTCAGTTTAGGAGATGGCATAATCCTCTTTGTTGATAAATTGCTGCTTGAATTCCTAATTAACTTTCGCAGACGTCTAGACTCAACGAATATTTATTAATTTCTTATATATTATAAATTTAATTAATTGAACTTTCCACACTTTTTATTCTATTTTTAGAATTTGCTATCAAAAATATTAAAAGAGCGATATTTTTTAATTTCAAATTATTAATAATAATATACAGTTATTATATGTTAAATAACTTTTTCCTCCATTTTTTAAATTAATTATTCAAAATGATTGGAAGTTAAAATATAAAAATTTAATGTTTATGTTTGGGTATAAAAAAAATAATATTTTAGTAATTAGCNGTAGTCACACAGTTTTTATATTAATTAAATTAAACTAAAAAGTAGTGATCTTGCCTCACGCTATACTGTAAAGTATATAAGTTCAACGATTAAACTGTGTTAAAGTATATAAAATATATTGTAATTTATCATATTAAAGCATGAATTTGTAGCTTTAAAATGGAAAAAAAACTAGTGCTTAATGAAAGAAAGAGTTTAGCAAATATTTTTTCACGTAACGAATTGTTAATTTTTCAGGAAGCCGATATAGCCATTGCTCCATTAACAATAACATCGGCTAGAGAGAACGTGATAGATTTTACCAAACCTTTTATGTCGTTGGGTATCAGCATCATGATCAAGAAACCGGTAAATAGGAAACCTGGTGTGTTTTCCTTTATGAATCCTTTGTCAGAAGAGATTTGGATGTGCATTATCTTCGCCTACGTCGGTGTTTCTGTCGTCTTGTTTCTAGTCAGTCGCTTTTCACCCCACGAATGGAGATACGAAGACGGAATGATGGGACCAACGGCTTCCAATGACTTCTCTCTACAAAACAGTCTTTGGTTTTCCTTGGGCGCCTTCATGCAACAAGGCTGTGACATTTGTCCGAGGTACGAACACGATGCCTATATCATATCCACACTTTCTCTTCGCCCGGCCACAGCGAAATTAAATTTACAGTTATTTTAGAATTTAGAATTTAAAATTTAAACATAGTTTTACGTATCTAACTGATAATATTATTTTTAAATTATCCATAGCTAAATTTTAAATGTAAGCTTAAAATTTAATGTATAATATTAATTGCATCTGATGGATAAAATTTATATATTTATCATAAACGAAAATCCTTTTATAATTTAACGATTTGATAATTATAACCGTTGCACTGTAAATTATCCGTTTTATAAATTTTATCCTTCAAAGTTTGCATGATTATTTAATTTATATAAGCTATACTTAAAATGTTATTATTGAAATTAGAGAGTGAATGCTTAATTAATTAGCAAATATCGTTTTATAATTTTTATTGTAATTATTTATAAATTAAATGTAATTAAATTATTATTTTAAAATTTTATTTCTATGTAGCCTAATATGAACACTGATCTACTTTTCACAGGAATTTTTCAAATACCTTCTCTTCCAGCAGCAATTTATTCTTTCTCATTTCCCAGTTTATTCGTTCTCATATCTGAAAGTCTATACCATTTATATTTCAAAAAGTAATTTATTTACTTTTGAACTTTTCTAGTGAATGATTTGAAAACTGAATTTAAATCCTTCGACAGAGATTCTTGTAAATCTTTCTCGTTTTAATACAATCAACGAACAAGATATTGTAAATTCAATTTTATCTAACTAAATTTAGAAAGAAAAATAATTTTTCTTTTGATATTTTCTAAAGGATTTAGTATGTGAAAAACAATGAAAAATAATAATATTCCTTCTCGATTTTTGTTAAGTAATTACTTAGTAGCAGTTATATTTATTAATAAACACATTTATTTTCGTTATATTTTAACAATTTAATAAGGATTTGTTAATTAATAACCAAGGATTCGCTCCCTATAAATATCAATTATATATCAATTTTAAAAAATTATAATATTTTCGAATTTATATTATAATTATGTATTAATTATAATGTTAGATCTACTCATGATATTTATAATTTGTAATTTATTTCCTACGATTAGAATATTCGCCAGATTTAAGTGTACGTAATATACAGTGTTCGTTTCGAAAATTTGCATGTTATATGCTTGATGATGATATAATAGAGCATATGAATTTATAATAATAAGATAAGTTTGTTTGCCTTGCCTCTAAGGAATGGCTTGTTATATCCATTTATTTTAAAGTGAATTTGCATGCTTGCTTTATATTTAATGGTCTGTGAATGTGAAGAATGTCGATAGCATACATAAGTTATGAATGCTAAAATGCAAACATTTCTAGTTATCTGCCTTAAGTTTACGTAGTTTATAAGTGTGAAAACGGATATAGGAATTAATTGATTCATATAAAATAGTTTCGTGGATTGAATACCTGGAAAGAAACGTTGTAGTCTTGTGCATGAGGCAATAGTTACGAAAGCCCAACAGGAAAAATTCAAGTAAAACAATAATAATAATAATAAATGGAATGTTGCTGGCAAACAGGAATGACAATTTTATTTCTGCAATGCCAAATGATGCTAGAAATAGTCTAAAAGATGGAATGTATTTTGAAATATTTGTATGGTATGAAACGTAGTGAAGTCGAGTCTGTTTTCTAAAACTGTTAAAATCACTCTTGATAATTTTTGATAATAAAATTATAATGAAGAATTCTATTAAAATATTAAAATATTTAATTTGAAATTTAAAAAAAAAACTTTTTTTGTTTTTGTTGTTTATCCTGGGGTGAGCCGCACTCTGTCTTCTACGGACTAATTAAAACATCTCATTTGATCATCCTTATCATGTAAGGATCTGAATTATTTAAATATATAATTCCAGTTTCTACATCATTAGCATGTCTGCTGAACTTTATATTTATTATTATATCAGTATTTCTCACATAAAAAAAATTTCTATAATAAATAATCAAGAGTTCTTACGATTAATTTCTAAGCTCTGTTGTTTAATTAATCATCTAACACCGTAATAATTATTTACTGTATTTCAAATAATATTCTCTTAAAAATAATAAAAATTTGTCTTAAATATGATTTATGTTTTGAATTATAAAATTTCTTTTGGAAGTTCTTCTTCCTTATATTATTATAAGTATCTTATTTTCACCTTAAGATTTAAAATTAATTCATTTTCTAAATAAAAAAGATATTAATTCGTCTAACAAAATGATTAATCAATTATTTCATAATTCTTAATGCAATATTATTTATTTTGTAAACATTGTGCAATTTCTATTATTTTAATTTGATTCCAACCAGCATTGAACATATTCGAGATTTTCAAATTTGTTTACAAAGTGTTGCCATGTTGGGTATGCCAAGGCTGCAGCTGTTATTCCCAGGTAAAGCAATTCACTGTTAACGTATAGTTTTCCATTATTTATATGTGTATATGTATATATAATAATAATAATAATAATAATAATGCTAATAATACTAATAATAATTTATTAAATTAAATTCACACATAACAAATGGGCACGTGTCACAGTCTTCGTTACATCCAGACGACCTGGGAGAATATTTAAAATAAGTAATGCTAGCCGAACAAGATAAGATTACTTCTCTAACGAGACCTGCCATCATCAGCGTTGTGAAGAATCTTCCAGTATTTAAAAAAAACAACTCGAATGATCAAAGAAAAAAAAGTCAAAGACACACTTTGGTGGTAATTTAATGGAAATTAATGGTTAAGTGATATACTGTTCGGTGATTTAATGCACGAGGTATTTTAGAGTGACTACAAACTTCAATAAAAAAAAAATAAAAAAAATAACAGTGAAACAATATACGAGTCCATTACAATCACCAAGAGAACGAAGAGAGTGGCATAACCTCAGGATAAATAACAAACATTAATGTTTAAAGAAAGCAAAATGATGTTTTTAAATGAATTTCTGATCATTTTAACTTTTTTTTTTCAAGGACATTTTTCATAAAGAAATGAACTTTATTAAATTTTTACATATTTTTACCCACATTTCTTTGTAGACTGCTTTAATCTCATATAACTGAATTAAATTTATATTCGAGAATAGAAGGAATATTTTTAACTTAAAAAACAATTAAAATTTTAATACATTTAAGGTGAAAATGTAATTACAAAAAATATTTCAATTTATTTTCTCGATAATTCTGTTTACACGTATTTAACTTATTGTTTAATTAGTCATTTATTTTTATTAACCTTTTCTGCAATGCATATAACGTATTTTAGAATTTAGATAGTTAAATCGATGAACAGCTTCTTGTTTACAAAAATAGAGGCATTTAATTTATTATTTGGCGCATGTATAAATCAAAATGATAAGTAATATTTAAAAATTTAATTTATATTGTTATACTAGTTTATAAAAAACAAGTATAATTTTCTAATTGATTAATCGAGCGATTCGAGTTTTATTTTACTAAGTAATTATAATTAATTGCTTTAAAATTATTTAAATTCATTCATTTCTAAAAATAATTTTCGTTTATTTTGTATTCTTCACTTTTTATGCTACTTCGTTTGTAAAAACAATATATATATATATATATAATTATGAGATTTCGAAAAACGTAGTGACGAAAATGCGTAGAGTTTGATTTATTTATCTGCTGAACTTTATGATGAATGCTTTGCTTGGAATGATGATTTTCGAATTAATATAAATTTAAATCTAGTCATTATGAAAATAATAAGTTTCGTCTTCGTCGTAGCGAATGAGATAAATAGCTTCGCAGTATCTGTTGTAACGTTTCTGTTTAGGTCGATTGCAGGTCGTATAGTGGGCAGTGTCTGGTGGTTTTTCACACTCATCATTATCTCTTCGTACACTGCCAATTTGGCTGCCTTTCTCACAATGGAAAGAATGGTAACGCCTATTAATTCTGCTGAAGACTTAGCCAAACAGACTGAAGTCGAATATGGTACTCTATCGTTTTCTTCGACGCAGGAATTCTTCAGGGTAAGACCTCGTGAAGTATATTTTCTATCGATTTTTAACATTAAAAAGTGTTAAAAATAAAAATTTTAAATGTAACTAATGTAAGATTTTATTTCGTTATTCATATTTCTGATAGCTTCAAAGCGCAAAAATAGCTGTTTATGCTCGGATGTGGGAATTTATGAATTCGAGGAAGCAAGTTTTTGTCTCTTCTTACGGAGAGGGCATCAGAAGAGTAAGGGAATCGAAGGGAAAATATGCATTTTTAATGGAATCTACTAAGAACGAATATATTAACGAGAGACAACCTTGCGATACGATGAAAGTAGGAAGAAATTTAGATGCTAAAGGATATGGTGTGGCAACACCTGTTGGATCTAATCTCAGGTATGTGTTATTTACAGATATTTTAAGTAGTATGTTTTTGATATAATTCTGATTTAAGTGATAGAATTTAAATTAAAATGGGCAATTTTCAGGGATCGTTTGAATTTGGCTGTTTTGACAATGTTGGAGAAAGGAGATTTAGCTCGTTTGGAAAATAAATGGTGGTACGATAGGAGTGAATGCAGAAATGGAGATAGTAAGGTAAAAAATGGATAAATTTTAATTCTGTTAGTAAGAAAAACCTTAAGTTATATCAAATTAAACTTTAAAACTTCTGAATTTTCAATATTTTAATTTTTGATAATAAAAAATATAATAATTCAAATTTCACAGTTTTAAAATTACACAAATGTTACATTAGCTGTTTAAAGATAGATAATGTAATAAATCGATGCTTGTGTTATTAAAGTATTTGTTCGTATTAAACATCCTACTTTGTATACAGTTTAAAGTAATTTACAACGTAATATTTATCTTGGTATACACATACGTGTATGAATTTTGGTAGTTCTATACAAACTCACTAATATATTGGCATATAAATTTATTCAAAGTATTATTCCTCGCTTCCATAAATCTCAATGCACAAAATATTTCTACATCGGAATGGGCTGTCGTTGTGAACAAATGATCCACTATACAGAATGGATATAAATTCTTTCTCATGTGCATTTTTGTATGTTTTTGCCCACCGGACCATCTTAGCCACCATATTTTAGCTACAACAAATTATGATGGATGGTGCATCAATCTCACTGCACCAACATCCAATAACAAATCATGATTGATTGATGCAGCTCTTATTTTGACTGTTGTCTTACTTTCAGTTAATATTCTTATTGGGTTTATCTTTAGATATTAAACTTATATTGGAAAAAAATATATAAACTAAAATAAATATTTTAATGTAAAACTTTAAACTTTATCGACTTTCTTTTCAGGAATCTTCTCAAAATGAATTAACGTTAAGCAATGTGGCCGGTTGTTTCTATATATTGGTTGGAGGGTGTATATTAGCCCTATGCGTAGCTACAATTGAATTTTGTTATGTATCCCAGATTGAATCAAATCGATCAAAAGTAAGTTAAATTTATGAATATTTCAATAATTTGGCAATGAAATTATTTTATATTTGTAAGCTAAAAGTAATTTTAAAAAATATACTTTACTTAGCTTAACATAAATTATAGATTTTAAATTAAAACCCCGAAAGTAATATTATAATATTTATTTTCAAAAAATTACGTATGCAAAAATCATAAAGAAATATTAATATTCCTCTATAAATTTATACGAAAATATTTCTGATAAATATTAGAATATTTTTAAATTGTTAATATGAAAAGAAAGGAAGTAGAATATTCGTAATTACTGTAATTCGAAACTGCGGATTACTTCATTATATATATATATTTTAAATTACATAAAAGAAAATCAAGAAACAAAGAGCGATTGTTAGAGAAATCCTATTACACAAATTCGTTTCCTGAAGAAATTGCCTTTCTAGAAATCGTTTAACTTGATCGCAAAGTATAGTGAGACGGGTTAAAGTCGAGCCTGTAAGAGATATTTAAAGAATGAAACAGGATTGACAGTCTTGTTGCTTTATCATGCAAAGGCAGAAGATTGCTACTAAGCTGATTTGGCTTATAGTCCATATTGGCTATTTGAAGTGCAAGAGACAAAAGTGTGTCTATCAATAATGGACTGTGAATGTCAAGATATAATGTAAACAGTCTTTCTCCAGCAGATGCCATCTTTCTCGACATTGACACATTCGCTTTTCGTTCTCTCTCGTTTCATATTGGCACTTAACATAGAATAATATTTATTTTGTAATTGAGAAAAATGCTTTTCTTTGCATTCAAGTTTTTTTTTGTCTATTTTCCTAAATCATTAACTTTTTTAAATTCTCAATTTATATTTTAAAACTTAAATTTGATCGCATTATCTAAATATTTTCAAGAAGAAAAGAAAAATAATTTTACGTGTAATTTTATAATTTACTTTTGATTTGAATGATGATAATTTATAAAATTTACATGTATACTTTTCTATAAAGTTTATGTAGGTTTGAAGTCGTCCCATTAAATATTTACAGTATCTATAAAGTAAATAATAATTAATTAACAGATATGAAGCAAAGATCGTTGTTTCGAATTAAGCAAATCTACTTTTACAAAATTTATGTAAACAATTTAAAAACATTTAAGCGCAATATTAATTAGGAACTTGGCAAATTTATCATTCCTTATGGCCATACAGCTTGTTTGTGAAAGTTAAATTAAGAGAGAAAAAGAAAACTATTTCATTATTTCTGTTATGGATCGACCCCAACTTTAGAAATGTGTTGCGTAATATTCATCATAAAAATTAAAATTGATTAATGAAGCGCAATGATTGTTTTAAAATAATTAAAATGCAAATTGTCTCATAATTAACTTACGCTATATATGAAAATGCATTTGTTTGTTTGTCAGAATCATTTTCCTCGTACGTTGTAACTCGTCCAATTGGGTTAATAAGGAAAATAGTGAAGAAAACGTAATAAATGTTTTCATTACTACTTTCTTCATTAGCCAATTTAATGACAGAATATTTGTAAGTAGAATTCATCTGGATGGTTATTTGGGAAAAAAGCATCATTCAGAGAAAACAGAAAGTGTTCATTATCAAAGTGTTCACCTAATGGATCTATTTTCTTTGTTGATAGCTTTACTTTTATTTCTGTTTTTGTTTGTTTGCACCTATTAGATAAAAACAGTCCTATCAAACAGATATTTTCTTTGACTCAATTTGCGATATTTTTCTTTTCATTCGTTGTTCCATATAAACATGCTTCAATTATTTTTATCAAATCAAATAGATATTCTCTCTTCTATTCCAAGAAATTCGATCTTTAGAAATTCTCTACAGCAGTTTTTATTAATAATTAAATTAATGCAACTTTTAATAAACTTAAGGAAATTTATTTCTAAAAAGCGAAACCGATCAAAAATCGCTTGTAAATAATCAAACGTAAAAGAAAAAGAATAAGAGAGATGCATTATACACTAACGAAAGTCATGATTGATAAATGAAGAATTCAAATTTCATAATTCAATATTAACTAAGAAATTGCAGTAATTATGCATGATTGTAAGACAAAGTCTAATTTATTTGAAGTAGGTTTTTAATACTTCAGTAAACGTTCTTGACTTTAATTAATAGGAATTCAATAAAATTATCTTGGATTATTATGCGATTTTTCACTACCTTTAATTATATGAATATTTATTATTAAGGGAAACGAGAAATCGGTTTATTGCGAATAAATTTTGCATTGCAAAAATTTCTCGGCAAAAAGACTAATAATAGTTGTTTGTTTCTTCTCCAATCAAATATCTTCAGATTTAATAATAGAAAAGAAAATTTTAAATTGATAAAAAATAATCATATTTAAAATTAAATTATTTCATTATTATTCGAAATGAAAGTAAATAATACTATTAAATTATACATTAATGATGTCAAAAACATCAATACATTACTTTGTGTCCTCATCAACATTTAGAATAATGATTACCCCGTTAGAGAAATGCTTTGATGAAAAAAAAATAATTAAAATCTATCGATTTTGCTTTGTTCTAAATTCAAGGCACATTTATCAATATTTAGAAATTAAAGAAAAATATGAAATGAAAGATATTATTAAAAATGAGGAATTTATAATTTATTAAAGATAATAAAAGTTTCTGTACATAACATAATATGCAAATTAATTCCCCCTTTTTTTATTTAATTTAAAAATGCGTATGCCTATTATTACACATAACAGGCTTTTCCAGGAATTTCATAGGCGGTCTGTCCTGGATATGTAGGCCCATTATACAGTACCAGTATTGTGGGTTCGGTCAGGCCCATGCCAGAGGTATTGTGGTCCTAACCGAGTCCACTACATTCCATAAAATGTGATTATTAATGAACAGAAATTTGGCTCTTTCACAAATATCAGTTTGTTCAATACATTGATGAATATTATAATTATAAATATAAGTATTACACTTTGTTTTAAAGTTTTACTCTAAAAACTGAGTCTTGTAATAAAAAAAAATAATTTTTTTCAATAAGATTAAAGATTTTCTAGCAACAGATTTATATACATTTTCTTTTCTACCAGGAATATCATTTTCCCATTTTAGGTGGACTATCGTTGTACTCTCTGCATTATAATGTTAAATATAATAATAATGTTAATTGAATTTTTCCATTTTAACTTAGTATTTAATGAAATTATAGTTTTATAAAGATGAACATTTAATAAGAATTAGTTGTTTAGAGAATTTATAAGGGAAACTATACATTTTAAATACAGTCGCGTTCATCTCAAAACTGAAAAATTGACGATTGATGGATTGAGTAATGGGCTATCTACTAAAGCGGGAATACCTCCCAGATTTTCTCTAGAAAACTGGTCCATATTTAGATGTTAGATACGAAGTAAATCCAGAAAATTCCACGCGGCCAGCACGTTTGCGAGGCGCGAACCCGCGACTAACTACCAGTGTTCAGTGATTTTTATCTACTCGGAGCTGAGAAATGTGAGTCAATTTCTTCGATTCAAACACTCAAACGACAATCAAGTAAAGGCCGTGTCAATTATGATAAATGCACAGGTAAAGGATTTCAGATTTTTTCCAATAACCCAGATACAAAATTTTACATCTGAAATCCTTCTGAAAGCAGTTTTGACTGATGGGATGTGAAATGGCATCTTTTACTTCATTTTCTGTGAGTGCATTTTTTCATTTTCTATATTTTGGCTAATAATTTTATAAAAATGGTGTTAATTTTTTCAATAGCTAATATAATAATAATTTGAAAATTTAAATAAAAGTTAATTCAGTTAATTGGCATTTCATATTTCGTTTATGAAAATGACAATAACTGATATATCAATTGATAGTGTTTGAATATTGAAAACTTCTTCTTGCAATTATATATAGTATATTTAGTTTCATTTAAAATTTTGAAATTGCTATTGTAACTATTTTCCACGATATGTTTGTAACTACATACATAAATGCTGTCACATCTTTTTGAATAAAACATGGAAGTAATTTAATTTTTATTTAATGAAATGTTCAATTTTATTAAATTCACTGCCTGATTGAAATAAATATTAATTAAGAAACGTTAATAATTGCATAATATAAATCAATTAATATAATATAGTCTATTGTCTTAACATAAGCCTAATAATGACTGTTCGTGTAATTACAGTAATTGTTTCCTGTAATAAGTAGAATTTCTTTACGTAAGATCGTATAAATTTATTATATAAAACTCTTTAATAGTTAATAAATAATCATTAAACAGGTTCGTCTTTAGTAACTTACAGCTGTTATAAATAATCTTTGGGGTAATCACTATAGAAATTGCTATAACATTTTTAACAACTGGATTATAACTAGTTTATCTTGATTCTCCTCAATGATACTTTGAGAAGTTCATTCGACAAGTTAACGAGAAATACCAAAAATCGTTAGTAATTTGAAGTAATCCACGAGAAATTATAAGATCAAATTTGATCAATCAAATAATATCGATGATTCTTTTTACCTTACTATCGACATTATCGTGATAGATGAAGAGTCCTGTTTGGACTGCTTCACAGATGAAATTATGGGATCATGTTCATCACGAGAGAAAAAGAAGCCGAATGTAATTTCGAAATTTTTTCTTTCCTTACAAACTGTTCTAATGTTTCAATCAGGTTTTATAAAAACAAACTATATCTTCACCTTTATAAATGTCATTTAAATTATTAAAATCGATTGTAAATTCGTTTTCGTGAAAGAAAGCTTATAATTTACATTGCATGGGTTATTAATGTTAGTGGTTAGTTGTGACCTCATTCTCTCTCCTTCTTCTAATTAGTTCAATTAAAATCGCATTGGCTGCAGGCGTGAGAAAGGCATTCGATGATATGAAACTCATAATTTTATCAACATTTTCATTATTATTTTACATGTAACTTACGTCATATCGCTTAAACCAATCATTACAACTTGTTCTTTCGACAGCATTTAAATCAGGG